TGTAGAAACCAATGTTGAAATTGGAACAAATTCTAGGATAAATTCTTTGAATCCTAGGCAATTATACAACCTTAATTGGCTTAGCTCAGACAGAACTAGCCTTTCGAGTCCGAACCTCGTTGAAATTGTAAGGTCGAGCACAAACTTTAAATACTCTTATCCAAGGTCGAATCCAAACCTCGTTGAAATTGTAAGGTCGAGCACGAACCTTAAATACTTTTATCCGAGGTCAAGTCCGAACCTCGTTGAAATTATAAGGTCGAGCAAGAACCTTAAATACTCTTATCTAAGGTCGAGTCCGAACCTCGTTCAAATTGTAAGGTCGAGCACGAACCTTAAATACTCTTATCCGAGGTCGAGTCCGAACCTCGTTGAAATTATAAGGTCGAGCACGAACCTTAAATACTCTTATCCGAGGTCGAGTCCGAACCTCGTTGAAATTATAAGGTCGAGCACGAACCTTAAATATTCTTACCCGAGGTCGGGAATGAACCTCGTTAAAATTCCAAGGTCGAGTTCGAACCTTATTACGCCAAGGTCGAGTCCGAACCTTGAGACTATATTTTCTTAACCAAGGTCAAACACGAACCGTGTTACGCCAAGGTCGAGTCCGAACCTTGAGACTATACTTTCTTAATCAAGGTCGAGTTCGAACCTTGATATGCCAAGGTCAAGTCAGAACCTTGAGACTATATTTTCTTAACCAAGGTTCAAGTTCGAACCTTAGTTCAAACGTTCCATTCGAATTTGAGGTCGGATACGAACCTCGATACTCTCACCTAAGGTCGAATTCGAACCTTAGTTCAATCGTTTCATTCGAATTTGAGGTCGGATACGAACCTGGGTACTTTCACCTAAGGTCGAATTCGAACCTTAGTTCAATCGTTTCACTCAAAGTTGAGGTCGAATACGAACCTCGATACTTTCACCTTAGGTCGAATTCGAACCTTAGTTCAATCGTTTCACTCAAAGTTAGGTCGGATACGAACCTCGACACTTTCACCTAAGGTTGAATTCGAACCTTAGTTCAATCGTTTCACTCGAATTTGAAGTCGAACGTGCAAAAGCATTCCTAGTTCTTTTTGATCAAAGATTTAGGGATAACAACTCACAAGCAGTAATAGGGATTATAGAGGTAGATCTTAATCAATCTGTTTCCCTTATATATATTGCTCCAAATTTTACTATGAATCTTTCAGATTTCATACAAAATATAAATTTGGAAGTACAAACCAGAGGCTTTGGAGAAAACTTTGATGGTAACAATCTCCACCTTGACATCACCTTTATAGGAAGAATAAGTGATCAAATATCTCCTAGATATAGGATCAATACAAATCCTTTGATTACTTCTTTAGGATCAAACGGAATACAATTCCTTCCTCCCCAGGTTTTTGAATCTAGGAGAAACCAAGGAATAGAATGGCAGACACACCTAAATTCTGGATCATCCAGGAGTGCCATCACAGCCCCACAGACTGCCATTATGACAAATAGAAGAAATAGTCTATCAATTAGATTTTCTGACTATGAAAACATCCAAACTCCAGACCCCGAAGAAGTAGTTGAAGAAGAAGAACAACCTTCTAGAAGGTATTTTATGAATCTATGGATTGGTGAATCATATGTTCACGAATCTTGGAAAACAACCAACACTCCAACAAAATCCCAACTCTCTCCTAAAATATTAGAAGCAGTAGAAAAATGGGAAAAGCAAAAACAAACCTTAAACAAAATTTCTTTTCAAAACAATGAAAAAGAAACTATTTCGCAAAGTTATAAAAATGCACATCGAAAGTATACAAAAAAGTCAAAATCTTATTTTTAATAAGATCAAAGAGTTAGAAGATAAACTTGATAAAGCACTTATCAAAACAAAACCTATAAACGGAGAACTTGACAAAATCTCTCACCAACTTTCTAAATTAAGTTTAGAAAATAACACAGGAAATATTTCTTCCAAACCTAACACCAACAAATATATTCTTGCTAAACCAAGAAAATGAGGTCTAGTTCAAGAAATCAAACACAAACTGTTCCCTTTTCTGGAACATCACAAACTCTCTCTGGACATACTCCAATGGCAGAAGCAATTAACCAACAGCCTGGGATTCTTGATAGATTTTTAAGGCGAACAAACTCTAACACTAGACAGTTAGAAGAAATAATAGATGTAGAAACCAATGTTGAAATTGGAACAAATTCTAGGATAAATTCTTTAAATCCTAGGCAATTATACAACCTTAATTGGCTTAGTTCAGACAGAACTAGCCTTTATAGGTATCATAGGTTAGATGATTTTCATCTCCCTGATGGACACCACGAGATTATAAGCTTAATCTCTAAACAAACGGGTAGACAATTACTCAGATCCAATAGAAGATATGTTCATTTAGGACTAATCACTATAGGGATTAGAGCCTTAACCAGATCTTTTGGTGGTGCAAAAGCATTCCTAGTTCTTTTCGATCAAAGATTTAGGGATAACAACTCACAAGTAGTAATAGGGATTATAGAGGTAGATCTTAATCAATCTGTTTCCCTTATATATATTGCTCCAAATTTTACTATGAATCTTTCAGATTTCATACAAAATATAAATTTGGAAGTACAAACCAGAGGCTTTGGAGAAAACTTTGATGGTAACAATCTCCACCTTGACATCACCTTTATAGGAAGAATAAGTGATCAAATATCTCCTAGATATAGGATCAATACAAGTCCTTTGATTACTTCTTTAGGATCAAACGGAATACAATTCCTTCCTCCTCAGGTTTTTGAATCTAGGAGAAACCAAGGAATAGAATGGCAGACACACCTAAATTCTGGATCATCCAGGAGTGCCATCACAGCCTCACAGACTGCCATTATGACAAATAGAAGAAATAGTCTATCAATTAGATTTTCTGACTATGAAAACATCCAAACTCCAGACCCCGAAGAAGTAGTTGAAGAAGAAGAACAACCTTCTAGAAGGTATTTTATGAATCTATGGATTGGTGAATCATATGTTCACGAATCTTGCTCGGAAGACCGTCTCTACGACAAATTTCCGGTAAGAACAGGAAGTATATACACTTCCAAAAAAAAAGACATTTATTTACATATAAAAAATATTAATTTTTAGTATATGTTATATTAACATTTTATGTATTGAAAACATAATATATTAATCTTTTAAAACTTACACAATTATATATATATATATATATATATATATATATATATATAATTTA